ATCGAGGTCAAAGATAGAACCAAGCTACTTGAAATTTGCGGAGACTTCGTCCATACAGACACTTGCCAATCAGCCGAAGAAGAATGTCAAATGGTACGTCAGGGACCAGGTTAGCTAAAAACAATAATGCCTATAAGCAGTTAATGGTCAACACACAGTTGCAATAAGTGCTTGTCATTTTCCGTGCAGTCACAAATCCGAACATCCTAACCTAATGAGCTTTCTGAAGAGCTTAAAGGACATGATTGCGCATCACACATCCAACAAATAGTACTAGATTTGAGTCTCTAGGATTGCGCAGTGGTATGCCATGGTGCGTCTGCAGCAGCGTCAGAACTGCAGTCGCGTGAAACACATGCTCTCATCATCTTCATCAACAGCAATACATCAGCCATTTGAACTGATGCTTCACTGCCGTACAACCAGTGACTTAGGGAACTATGAAAAAGAAGAGGAAAAGGGGAATTGGCGTAAAACCTTAAGAACCAAGGTGCATACACCACGCCAACAACATATCGTCACAAACAGGTGGCCACCGTTTTGTAAGCGATAAAAGTCGTCTAGAAAGTTCGACTGACGCGTTTCAACAGGGATCACATGAACAACAAAGCCGGAACTGGAAAACTGTACGATTTACAAATGGATAAGTGTGCATTTACAATATATACCTCAAAAATGATGCATTCAAACTCAAAGTTGCTATAATGACAAGAGTTCAGTCAGGAAGCTAACAAACTTGGTCTCAGAGCGACCAAAATACGAAATGACGGCACCAAAGCGCACGGAGTTAATGGGACACATGGAGGACGCGAATACAACGAGGACGGTTTGGAGCGTTCACCGCATGCGTAACAAATGCACAGATATGGATGGAGTGGACCGACAACCATAATCGGCGGGGAACAAAAGTCGACAGGTTACCGTAATCGGTCAGGTACAAAGGGACCACTAAGAATCATAATTAATGTCAAACAAAGGTGTAGACGTCAGCTGGAGTCAAGCAAATGAGAGGAAATAAACCACGTAAGGTGGAATGAGATTGGAGACTGGGTCTCGCGAAGGAATAGAATTGAACACGCTGCTTCTCAGTGCCACCAGTAAAGAGATTATAGTTCTTGCAAGAGATATGAATGCGCAAGTAGGTCGTCTGACCTCAATAGAAGCTCAGTTAGGTGATAAGTATGGACTTAACTCCAACTGGATAGACAACGGCGAGCCTCTGTTACGGCTGTGTGCGCAGCGGATGTTTCTTAGTAGCACTATTTTTAGACACAGTAAACACCAGAGTGCCACCTGACGTCTTCCCGTAGCGATGGAGCCGAATAGATCACGCTACGAAAAGATGGCGTGGTTCCATACTAGACTGTCGCTCGTTCTGCAATAACTGCATCGATTATAATCATGCCATAGTACGCTGTCGTTTTCCATGAACTGTACCGGGATGCGTAGCAAGCGCCTCCCTCGATTGGCAACTGAGAAGCTATCTCAGCCCTAAGTCAAGCAAACCTATTAGGATGTTCTGTGAACTGAATTTTCGCTTTCTCTCCCAAACGCCACTAAGGTACAGTGGAACAAAAATCATTTTCGCCATGCACTATGCGAGAACCTCTGTTTGTGGCACTATCAATCGTCAGCGCACCAGTCACTGGATATCCGAGATGTCGGTGAACCTGTTGGAATCCAGAAGAAAACTCTCGGTTGGCTCTGAACACAATGTAGCTAGGCGGACTATTAGGCGCGAACTAAAGCGGTCTGGTGGACTAGTAGGGCCCAGAAAATGAAGGAAGCAGGAGCAGTAGGCAATTATCATAAGCTCTTCCAACTGATCTGCACCACCAGTCCCAGAAAGCCAGGTGGCAGTGAAACAAGGAGAAACATTGCGTGTGCCATTATTTGCAATAAGGAGCGCCGTATGACTCGTTGAATAGAGCACTTTCAAGGGCATTCAGTTAGCACCCTGCTCCTGGGTACCTTCCTACTCAGGTGTTGCAAACTGAGCCATGGAGGGCTGGTTTAGAAGCTCCATCGTAAGCTGACGCCAAAAACGCGATTATAGCCCTTAGGGATTTTCGTGTTGTTGGCCGGATTCGCTCGCATCCGCACTATTTAAGGATGATGGGGAGGTTCTCTGCAACGCAATAATATCCCTGTTCGAACAGGTATGGAAGGAAGAGGCCATCACAGCTAACTGGAGTGAAACGATTATAGGGCCAATAGACGAGAAAGGCAGTCGCATCGACTGCGCTAACCACAGGTGTATTAGTCTAACGCCGGTGGTGACAAAAGTACTAGCCTCGATGTTCGTTCGTCGCCTCATTGCGGAACGGAAATCCGGGAAGAGCAAGCAGGCTTCCACCAAGGTTCTGACTGTATGTACCACATATTCACTCTGTGGTAGGTGTTGGGGCAGCGCCACACGTACCGCATACAGACAATAACCGTGTTCTTCGAATTCGAGAGTGCGTGCGAATCAGTCGGTTTATCCATTCTGTTCAATATATTTGTACAGAAAAGTGTTCCCATGAAATATGTGAAAAGTATACGTTCCCTGTACTCGAACACAACAGGATGCGTCAGGATCTACGGTGACTTGTCGCATTTTTTTCCGACAACAAGTGGCGTTCGTCAGGGTTGCCCAATTTCATCATTTTTGTTCAACTTCGTCGTGGACTCAGTTATGGAATGTTACCTTGCGGAGCCTCACGATGCAGGCGTAGAGGTGCTGCTTGGTGAAAAGCTAGTTGATCTTGATTATGCGGACGATATTGCCCTACTTTTTAACGATGTCGGTGCGGTCCAATCGACCCCGACTAACCATTCTAGAGTGGTCCCATCATATGACAAGCGTTTCGCAGCTTAGAAGTGCAGTGTCATTGCAGGACCACAAGCCACTTGATGACCTCTTGACCTTTGATTGCGAAGTATTCGAGGTAGTTAACCAATTCACTTACTATGGCAACTGCATCAGAAACGATAGACGCATGACCACTGAAGTCCGTTCATGCACTGCAAAAACTAGAACTGACTTCTTGAATCTGCGACATCTGTGGCATCAGAAAGAGACTTCCCTCGATCTGAAAGACCGTGTTTACAAGGGTACAGTGAGGGCCATCTTACTCTGTTGGAGTGAGAGTTGGTCCCTTCGATCTGAGGCTCCTTCAAGCCTTTGATCATCGCTGTCTGCGAAGCAGTGCTGGGGTCGGACTGCACCAGTGATGATGTGCGTAGGCGAGTGCTGGACAGCGATAATCAGGCTAGTTCCTTAGAGCAACAGATTGTATTGAATAAGCTGAATTGGCCTGGGCACGCACTACGTACGCCCGGTACCGTTTACCGAGGGTCTTGTCTTGTTTAGCAGATGTAGGATGCGCAAGGTCCTAGGTGGGCAAAAGTTAACGTGGCAGCGGGAAATCAAGTCACTGACGTACAAACTTGGTGCCGTTGGTCCATCTCGCTTTCCAGGCTAGAGTCCACGTAACCCGCCTTATGTTTGGTTCCAGACGTTACGGGACGTGGCTCGCAGTCTGCACCAGTAGCGTGCCTGGTGTCGTCCCTTGTCGGATTGCCTGTTTAAAGTGTGTTTGGTGCTGAGTTATCTGCGGAGTAATGGGTAATTGTGATGTGGGGCAGTGAAAGCCGCAAAGAAGCTGTCTCGCCAATGCCGCCTCATCATTGCACGATAGTCATCTGTTTGTGACGGTATGTTGACAAGGGGTGGACACCTTCAGCATGTATATATGTAGGGTACTAAGGTTTTACCGTAAGTCCCCCTTCTCTCCCTCTTGTTATTCTTCAATCTGTAAGTCAATGTGGTTGTACGGTAGTGAAGTGTCGGTCCAAATGTATGATGTACTGCCGTTGATGATGACGAAACTAGTTGCCACCACTCGTGTCACCAAAGTAACAATGATTAACGTTTATGAGGAGGATGGGGTGTCGGCCGGTGGCCGAGTGGTCTGCACGCCTGACTTGCAAACATAAGGTCACCGGTTCGAATCCGCGAAGGGGTGGGGGAACTCGGGGTATACTTAGCCCGCGCGCGACTGGTGGTGGTTGCGCGGCAGCGAAGCACCGTTACGGTGTACAGCTGACATTATTTTATTAGCATGGGTAGAAATGGAACAAAGCACAAAGATAAAGGAGTTAGGAAAAAGTGAGTTGGATTAATTGGGATGGAATATCAACAACTAGGTGCGAGAAACCAAATGAGCACTGACTCCGCGGCTGAGACATGTTCATTAAGTCCTCCAACCACGGATGTAGTCAATTCCGAGGTCCCTATCCAAATTATTCGTGTCTTAGAGGATCAATGCAAGAGTACGTTAAAGTTCAAAAATTCATGGTGGTATGTTGGTTGGGATAGCTTCAGATCCCCAAACCTAAGAAAGGGAACGACACGAGTCCTCAGTTAAAACCTATTTGATTGCAGGATAGTGGGAAGATCATAATGATTCACAAGATGTGCGCATGTCACAGAAATGTGTCACTCTATCTTTGACAAACAGGGTAAAAAAAATATATCAGTAGTACGTCCGTAGGCGGTACCGACGCTTCACTACCGCGCAACCACTATCAGTCACACGTGGACTAAGGATACTGCGAGTCGCCCGGTTTTCTAAGCAAACTCGAACCAGAGCCGTCGGATTACAAGGCAAGCCTGTGATCCTTAAGTCTATGAACTCTCAACAAAGAGCGTGGACGACTGGGAGGTTTATTTGAACTATGACCATCGACCAAGCTGGTAAGAACGTACCTTAAGGCATTCAATGGTACCATATATTGTATTTTAGTGAGTCAGATAAGCACATGAACGATAGTTACGATGTCTGCCATGGGTGTACATAATCCTCGGAACGCGTCTATCAGGCCGCATAAACCGTCATTGGAGCGTAGGTAGGAGCTGTGTCGTTTAGGTAGTTTGGAAAGATACTGGCAGCTGGGATGGAAGTAAGGTAAAAACAATAAAAGCATCGGCATAGACTGCACGCAACAGACCTTACCTATGACAAATAACTCAGATGACAAAACTTCTTCCATCTCGAACACCCGTTTGGGGAATACATTGCGTACCAAGTCCTCGCCATCTATTTTTGTCTTCTCTTTGTATTCATTTAGGCGACTTTCGATACTAGACATAACCTAAAAGCAAAGGCAAACGATAAAGTTTAGCATCGGTACAGATAAGACCGGTGGACAAAAGTTCTCCCAACTTCATCTCAGCCACGTTTATTCTCAAGTGGAGCTTCATGAAGCTGCTAAGTTACGACTATCAATACACAATTAGGGTTGTTTCACTATAAACGGTCACCGTTCGGAATACCCTGTTCCGGCGATTTTCCAGAGGATTGTAGACAATTTAGTGAAAGGTATACCTGGAGTGTGTACTTATTTGGAAGAGATCTTGGTTACTGACAGTACGGATTACGGGCATCTGATGGCACTCACTACTGTTTTCGAGCGGCTTCAAGAGAGCGGACTTAAGACCAAAGAATCCAAGTCTTTTTCTCCGACAGCGTTGAATACCTGGGGTTGCGTTTGGACAGACTTGAATTACATCCATCACTGGAGAAAATTCAACCCATTTTCGACCCGCCGACACCGCGTAACATTCATGAATTGCAATCATTTCTCGGGATAGTGACTCATTACAGTCGTTTTTTCCCCAACTACCCTCGCACCCTTGTATGCATCGATGCGTAAGAATACCCGATCGCTGTGGTCACCAGGACAACAAAATGCTTATGCTGTTGTCAAGCTGGCTATAAGTCAGATCAATTTGCTGATACACTTTGACCCAAAGAGGCCAATTAATATCCAGTGCGACGCATCACCCACAGGACTCGGAGCCGTGCTATCTCACAAAATGGACGACATGACCGAACGACCCATAGCTTTTGCATCCAGGAGCTTGGCACCGAGAGGGATTGCGTCCAGCTAGACAAGGAAGCCTTAGCAGTTATGTTTGGGGTTAAAAAATTTCACCAATACCTTTGGGGAAGAAAGTTTGAAATTTTTACGGACCACAAACCGTTATTAACTTTGATCGGTGAGGAAAAGAGCACCAACCAGATGACGTCCCCTTGTATTAACGTTGAGCCTTACTGCTATCGGTCTACGACTACAACATCTCATATGTTCCTGGGAAAGCAAATGGAGTCCCCGACGCTCTGAGCCGCTTACACTTAAGTCAGTTACTCAATTGCGTACTGAAATCCGCTGAACTGGTTAATTTTCTACCTCATTTAGAGGGAAATCCGGTGCTAAGCGAAGATAGACGTCATAAAACAGAACGAGACATACTACGTGCCAGGGCCAAGCGTTTAGTATCCCACGAATAGCCTGATAAATGTGATCTGCAACTGCTACCATACTTTACTCGACGCTCCGAGCTTAGTCTTGAAGAAGGATGTCTACTCTAGGGATCCAGAGCGATCATACCACCTTGATTGCGTCCAGATGTTCTACAAAACCTGCACGGAACTCACCCGGGCATAAGGAGGATGAAAGGGTTTGCGCGATCCTGTGTGGTGGCCCAATATTGACAGAGACATTGAAGAGTTAATCCGACACCGCGACACGTCAAAGCACACAAAGAGGCGCCCCACCTGTACCACTCAGCTCATGAAAATGGCCCAGTAAACCATGGGAGCGCGTACAATGTTGACTTCTTTGGCCCACTCGGCGGGAAGGTGTTTCTTCTCTTGGTCGACGCCTACTCGAAATGGATCGAAGTTTGCCCGTTAACACGAGCCACATCAGAGACTACGATTTCATGCATGCGAAAGTGATTTACAACCCTCGATATACCGCACACGTTGGTGACAGACAATGGCTCGGTGGTTACTAGTCAGGAATTTCAGGAGTTTCTGAAAAATAATGGCATACGTCATGTGAAGTTGGCCCCTTACCGCCCAGCTTCTAATGGCGTGACTGAAAGGACGGTGCAAACGGTCAAGAACGGGCTTCGAAAACAAGTGTCGGCTCCATTGCAAACAAGGTTAGATAAATTTCTTTTTGGTTATCGCTCCACACCGAACGAACCGATTGGTAAGAGCCCCGGGCGGAGGTTAAGGACACGGTTAGACTTGCTGTTTCCCGAGCAGAGGTTACGTATCGAGGCCAAACAAGATAAGTCTAAAGCCGAGTATGATCGAAAGGGCGGTCGATCGACGACGCTGTGAGAACGAACCGGTTTATATCAAATTGCCTGAGGAAATGAACTGGCAGCCTGGATATCTGGGCGAAGTTGGGGGGCAAAATACGGAAGTGACACTACCAGACGGCAGGGTAGTCATTCGACACAAGGACCATATCCGTCCCCGCTCTGTCTCGGTGCCGCCAGCCGACACATCGACAAGCGCAGTCAGAGTTGGGAGATGTACAGAATACTAAAAAATCGGAGACTCCGCAATGTCGCCGCTCAGGCCGAGTACGCCGACCAGTTGATCGATACCAGGCCAGCTGGGATAGTTCCAATTAAAGCGAGGAGAAATGTGGCATCTGCGCAGTGTGTCAGTCCAACGCTAGCCAGTCATCGATTAAACTGTTCCTATTGGTTGGATCCACCAGAGTCAGTGTGTGTCCGTTAACGCCAGTTAAGCACTGATTAGACTGTCTGAACTGTCTGTGTGGCGACACAATACATTCTGTTTTGCTGGGACTGACGTGTTCTACTTTCGTGCGCTACGGGCCGAATACTGCATTCTACTAAGTGTCGTGGTTCAGTACGGGTCGAGTTGTAACAAGTACCGACCCGGTACATATGAAGCCGACACACATTCGAGTAGCTGCAGCAGCAGCTCATTTGCCAGTTCGAACCTAAAGCAAGTCGATACTATGTCACCCGGGCATAACTCGCATTATTCATTTCGTCCGCGCCAAAAACCCACCGTTTTCTGTGCCTGAAATCAAATCCATGATTTTGAGTTGTGCCGTTTGATGTGAATTGAAACTAAGATTTCTCCAAAACTCTGGGACAGCTGCTAAAAGCAACTCAGCATTCTGAATGCCTCAATGCTGATTTTAAAGATCCTCTTCCCTCGAGATCTCGAAATCGTTATCTGGTAACTTGGTATGGCTGACATCTTCCGAAAGGCGTATGAACTGAATTGTTATGTATTTTTAATCCTGTCGTATTCTATGCATTGGTACATTCACCGTTCTAATTCGCTCCTGTTTTTATAGCTCATAGGTCTGATTTATTAATCGAGTAAAGCCTCCATATCGGCCTTTGCCTCCTTCCTTCATTCCGGGAATAATCAGTGCTCATCACCATTTACTCGATCATACGCCCAGATCGCTTTGACGTGGATCCTCAATTTTCTGACGCCGAAAAACGCTGGACGCATTGGATCTATACTTTCAACAATTTCTGAGAATCGGTCGAATCCATGAAGCCGGAGGTTGATGAATTATATCTCATCTGCCCTGGTGGTTATTCAGTACTCTTCTTACGAGGATGCCGTCAAAACGCTACAGGATATCTAATAAAAACCCAAAAACGAAATTTTTACAAGTCATATCCTAGCCACTGCCAGGCAAGAAAACGGCGATTCGTTAGATCAATCCATTCAAAAATTGAATTCTGCTGCTAGTGACTGTAATTTTCTACCAGTCACTGTTGATGAACACAAGAGGTGCGTCCATCAGCGGTTTACAATCTACCCCCATCAGGCAGAGATTATTGGAACAAAAATCACTCGATCTTCAGTCTGATTTCGAGATGGCTAGATCGCTAGACTTGGCTCAAAAACAAGCGGTCTCCTTTCACATAAGGACTTGTAACTGAACACTAACTTGAACATTAAAAGCCCATTATCCGAGCCGCAGCTATCTTTTCAAGCAGAACCTCTCTCCGCGTCCTCTCAGTCAAGGTGTTTCTTTTGCAGCTACGCTAGACATCCTAGATCAAGGTGTCCCGCCAGAAAAGCGATATGTAAGTGTGCAAAAAAGGCCATTTTCAGGTTTGCAAATCCAGGACAAGCTCAAAGCAGGGGCTCGAAAGTTTCTATGTCATCTGCTGCTGCGCCCAGCAGCTTTGCAGTGCCGTTACTGACATTTCTGTGAATGACACCACTTCAAGCCCTCGTCCATACTGGGAGCTCTGAAAGCGACATTGCTGCTTCGGTTGTAAAGCTTAACACATCATTATGGCCTCCACCACTCATTCTAGTTCCACCCAAGGACATATTATTTGCACCATGCGACACAAAGACACCCTTATTCGAATGTGAAGCTATGTTTTATCCAACGTGTGCTCTGATGTATTACTTAGTTACAACTTCCATAAATATCAACGTGAAATTGAGACGTCAGTGCATGAATCCAGGCCTTTTACTATTTATGGCTTAATGGCGGCTCGTGTTGAACCGTTCTCTCTGAGCACCTAGCTCCAAATCGCCAACCGATTGTTACGAAATCCAAACGCCATAGTGAAACTGATGAAACTTTCATTCAAGCTGAAATCAAGAGACTTCTGTCAGATGGCATTATACAGTCTTCGAGATCACCGTGGCGAGCGCAAGTGTTAGTAACTACAAACGGAACTAAGAAGCGTATGGTTGGTGACTATGGCCAAACTACAAACTGATTTACCTATCTTGATGCCTACCCGCTCCCAAGGACCGATGACCACATCGATAAAATTGCCCATTTTGACGTATATAGAACGCTAGATTGGAAGAGTAATTATCATCAAATACCAAATCAACGAGGGAGAACGAAAATACACTGCGTTTGAAGCTGGTGGAAAACCCTATGAATTTTGCCGCATTCCCTTCGGTGTTACCAAAGGCGTCGCGCGCTTTCAACGAGCCATCGACAGCGTTTCGAAACGGAAAGGAGTTAAAGATACATTTGCATACGTAGATAACCTTACGATGTGTGGTAGAATCAAGGAGGAACATGACGCCAATCTTGAACACTTTCTGTCGACATCCATAAATTAGGGTATTAGCTTTAAGGAGGCGAAAAAACATTTTTGCTGTTACTAAAATCATGCTACTCGGCTATGAAATATTCAAGGGTGTTATCAAACCTGACCCAGAGAGATTTTGAGCTTTGTCCGAGTTAATGCCACCTCATGATTCCAAATTACAGCGGCGCCTAGCGGGGATGTTTGTCTATTATTCAAAATGGAT